CTACTTTGATCACTAATTTTAAAATTGAGGTAAATAATTCTAAATATTATCGATTTATCCGATTTAAGTCCCTCCACAATTAACTTTCATTAACATGTTAAGGCTAATGTGACAATGAAAAAAAAATCAAAACTCGTGTCTTCTACTTCTTTACAAAAAATTCAAAACTCACGTGTCTTCTTCTTCCTTCTCAAATTTTACATCTTGGTTATGCTTCTTTACATAATACAAAAAAAAAAAAAAAAAGCCCCTCAAAATACGATAAGGCACAAAAGGAAACAAGAGGAGGAAAATTGAGATTCTATTTAGCGTCCAATCTGCCTGCGTCTCCTACCTTCTCAACCTGGAGCTTTCAGTTCCCGTAAGCTGATATGAGTTTGAGTTAGCGTATAAACTTTTCAAATTCCCAAACACCCTAGCATATACCATTTACAGCAACCTGCTGTCACCGACGGCCGGGGTCTGTTCAATGTTCTGAAAGCTAAATGGGGAAGATTCATATCCGGTTATGTTGCAATGGTTATCTGTAAGGAAACTACTGAGCATCGAGTGGTCGGTGGCATCTAACAGATTGGAGAAAGAACATGATTTCTGGGGATGAAGACTAATAGTATTATTGTTGTCAGTTCAAGGGCTTTCCAAGGTTGGTAAAAGGGCATCTTGAATGAACTGTTCCGCTTCATCTTCCTCTTGAACTCGATCATTTGCTACTGCTGTTAAATGTCGAAGATAAAGCATGGGATTTCTTGTAGATACGGCAAAGAACCCAATAATCCAATTAAAATCCACAGAAAATATAGAGAATTGAGGAGTCAATGTCACTATGTAAAATGCAATGATTTGCAGTGTTTAAGAGGAGACTCTTACCCACATGGAACAATCTTCAGACCTCAATGGTCTACTGTTGTAGTTGGAGACTTGAAGTTAGGCTCTGTGAAAGTCGATACTCATGCATGATTCAATTTGTTTTTATCCCTATCGGAGGCCTTCCTTTGTAGAACATCAAAGTTTTCTTCATCGATATTCGAATGCACTTCACCCCTTGAGATATAGCCATGGAGGAAAAGAACACTAGAAGCAACGATCACGCATGAAAATTAGGTTCACCGGGAACTCGTCGAAGACCTCGTAGCTTCCGACATCGACAAGATCGGAAAGCAAAATTTGAAAAAAAATAGTCTTTCTATTTTGGGTGAAGATGGCTCAAAGAAAGCAAAGCAAACAAGAAGTGAAAGGAGGCTTGTTTCTTTTGGTGAGAACTATAGGAAGCAAGGAGAAATCTCAACCACTACAATTTCATACGGATTCTTTTTCTAGATAACTAACAAATTTTGGAAGAAGAACAAGAAGAAACGTGATTTTTTTTAAGTGTCACGTAAGATTTTTTGTTAATGGGTTAATGGACATTAACGGTAGAGAAACTAAAATTAAACTGACCAATAATGTTATGAACCATATACCTTTAATTTTTAAATTTTTGATTAAAGTCGGTCAGACCGAAAATAAAGGGAACTATTCACATAGTTTATCAATAAGGGTTGGTTCGAGTGGTAAGCAGCTAGGTATTGTTTAAGCATGCTTCAAGTTCGAGATTTTATGTATGCAAAAAATCCCTATCAGAAGACTCGCTCATCAAAGCTAGCTATTAGATGAGGGTCAATCAAGATTAATTAGGACAAATCCTTGGAACCGGGAGGACAAAAAAATATTTATATAAAATTTCATAAAATTATTTAACCATATACCTTTATTTTTAAATTTTTGATTAAAGTCGGTCAGACCGAAAATAAAGGGAACTATTCACATAGTTTATCAATAAGGGTTGGTTCGAGTGGTAAGCAGCTAGGTATTGTTTAAGCATGCTTCAAGTTCGATTTTATGTATGCAAAAAATCCCTATCAGAAGACTCGCTCATCAAAGCTAGCTATTAGATGAGGGTCAATCAAGATTAATTAGGACAAATCCTTGGAACCGGGAGGACAAAAAAATATTTATATAAAATTTCATAAAATTATTTATATTATACTATTTAAATTTTATAAAAATATGTACTTGTTATAATATTAACTCTCAAACAACAAATAATCTACTGTACACCTAAAAATATTATTTAATATTTAATAAATTTATATCTTAAAAAATCAATTATCTGATTCAAAATACAACAAAAGATTTGTACAAATACAACCCCTTATTTCAGTTATAATATAATTTTAAAAGTTAGAATTATATAATATCTAAAAAATTATAAAAAAACATTATTGTTAATAAAAAAATTATTACCCTTTAAAAACCAAACTGAATCAAAAAGTATGAATATAATTTTGAAAAAAGTTCTCTTAATGGAACCTAAACTAAACGTATATAAACTTTTTTTTAAAATCATATATAACATGTAGTTTATGTTTCAATTTGATATATTATCGTTAAAAAATTAATAAAATTGTTAAAGTGAGTTTTTTCATTTTTATGAATTGAAGAAAATTACCGTTAATTTTTTAACAGCGGGGTGCCAAAATAAAATATAAATCAAACTTTAGTTATGATTTTGAAATAAATATTTAGATACCAAAACAGAATAATAGTAATAGTTTATGTATTAAACGTAGTTTACCCTAAAATAATTTTACTGTTTGTATATCTAATGTAATATTATTTTTTTAAAAATAATTTGAAAAATAAAAAGAAAGATTGAGAAGCAAAATGAACTCATTTTACTAATATATCATGTTACCAAATTAACCAACGATATTTAATGGAAATTTATAATATAAAAACTAAAAATATTATTATTTTTAAATCAATAATAAAAAGTGAAAAAATGAAAATTTTAATAGTTTACTCTTTTATTTATTACTAATATATTTCATTTATCTAGAGAGCAAAATCATTGATTCAATATGCAAAAAATGTGTTAAATATTTGAACATACATATGAATGGGTTATAGTTTTATTTATTGAGTGAGTAAACAATCGAAATATGTACTTTTGACATTTAAATAATTTTCTTTGGTTTATAACATACAGAATTCATTTATTGGGTTGCAATACAAAACATTATTCTTTTAATATTTTGACTTAAAAATTTGTAGCCTATGGATTTAAGCTACCTTAGTTTCTCCGAGGCTGCTTAATGAAGCCAACAACTTGCTGCCAAAACTTTTACTTATTTAATAATCAAATAATATTAAGGTAAAGTATACATGTTATTTGACTAGAGAAGGTTACTTTGTTAAATTCTTTAATTATTAAAAGTTACAAATTGGTGTCTTAATTATATGACGCTACTCTGTTAAATTCTTCGTTTTTTAAAAGTTATAAACTGGTCATCCGACTATTCATATGATCTAAACTCATCATTTTCTATTAAAAAATTGACGGTTGTCTGAGATGGATATTAACATGTTAATTGAGATATGATCAAATATAATATCGGAATAATTTTATAACAACCTAATAGTTTGTAATAATTATTTTTTTAACAATTTCTACAAGGAATGAGGAAAGAGAATTTTGCTGCTAATAGTTATTGAACTCACAACCTAAGGGAGAGAGAATGTGCACTGAGGAGCTAGCTTATTATGAGAGGTGACATATGACACCCCGAATTTTTTTTAAAAAATATTTATAAATTTAATATAAAAAATATTTATAAATAAATAAACTTAATATATTTTTAAAAAATATTGACACCCTTAAACATAACTTGACATCTATTATTCATTTTCATTCACTCAAAAACAATTTTTCATACAATTTTTAAATTTGACACTCTAAAATAAATTTTCTTTAAACTTAACGCCTGAAAATAAATTTTCTAACTCCGTTTTTGAAAATATATCAACCGAAAACTTTTAATTATATACTCTAGAAATTGTTGGAAATAAGTAAATCCCATTAAATATATATAATGGTAAGGCAGAACATATTCAAATATATGAGTGGGGACAATGACCTTTGGAAAGCTAAGCTAAGTTGATTAATGGAGTCTAATCAATATTATCTTGTCCAGTGTCTGGGACATTACTTCAAACTATTAAAACTTTGTATAGTAAAAACGACGAGATGATTAAAAATGACATAATATCAAAATTAGACCCAAATATTTATTAAAATAATCATTTTAACCTTTATCTTTTTGAAATATTTTGGTCCGTAATATTTTATTTTGGGATGAAAAGGGTCATCCGTGGATGAAAACTGTTAGTTAACAAACGATTAATGCTCCAAAATAAATGTAATTTTACCTTAAAATAAAACGTTGGGGGTTAAAATGCTCTAAAAAAGAGTTAAAGTGACTATTTAGTCAAAGGCCAAAATAACCATTTGATAAATGCTGTGGACTAATTTTAACATTATGCCTTGAAAAATATATAATAATTAAGTACTCTCTTGCCTTTTTTTTCTCATAAAAGAAAGTTTCTACAAAAAGGAAGCCTTAATACATGCTTGGGGAGCTTTTGCATTGTATAGTATTTAATCTGTACATTATCATTATCTTAGCTAGGGACTATTTTTTCACTATGTCTGACTTTATGTCTGATATATAAGATAAACTATATATTTAGTCACTCACTTATTTTTATAATCCCGTTTTGGTCACTTTAAAATTTTTAAGAGAAGACTGTCTTTCTCAATCTATCCCTGTATACAATGGCTTAAAACAAGTCTCATCCAATATCAAAGTAAGAGTTGATTGAATCACAAAGAAGTCTTTAAACAAGAACTCCTGCAAATTGAAGATGAAAAGAGAAGAAAACCTAAAATCTAAATCTAAATATGAATACTAGAAAAAAATGAAAGCCTTTGATAGCACAATATGGAACACCTAAAACTAGATGAATACTATGCTATTTATATAGGTTTACAATGCAGATATCTTCAAACAAAACCTAAGAATCAAGATATAAATACAGCTTTGATTTATCGTTTTCAGATCTTTGCACAGGCAACTGACAACTTTAACAAGGGAGGAAATGGGAAAAACATACATAAACAGCATTTATTTCTTATCACAGATGGTGTGGGAAACATACGACCAAGACAATTTGATTGTATTTCCTTTTTGCCATCATGCAATTTAACCTATACAGCATAACCCTGCAAAATTCTTAATTCCATAGGATAATAGCAGAAGCATAGAACAACAAATGATGCAGATAACCGTCTATAACCGGAGAATGGTTCGTAACGTGTCGCATAAGTTTTGAGTGGTCTGTTGCTCCTGATCCGCCTGCAACTCTTGAAGAGGCATCTCATCATAGCACCTGCAGTGAATAGAAGAGAAAAGTAGTTCAAACAAATACACAAACAAGCAATAGCAGGTAATTGTGACAGTTGGCAATAGTTACATTTTGTGATAAGCTAGAGCCTGTGCCAGATTCATCAGTGTAGAACTTGAAGTTAGTCTTTTGTAAACACTCGGAGGAAGTTGCATCTGTAGAATTTTAAACTGGAAAATAATTGACAAAACTCTGACAGAGAGAGATGTACAGGGAAAAGAAAAGGGTGAGAAGAGGATGAATTGACCTCATTATGAGCTCTTCGGCCTTTTTTTGATTGTCCATCACCAGCAAAAAGTTCTTGGAGTGGTCCTAATGCCACAGTTCCATTAAAATCCTGCTGCACGGCTCTAAGAAAATTATCTGACAAAAGGGCAATTGGGGATATATCTGTGGCCCTCAAGAATGGAATAGGTACTGTATTACCAGCTGCATATATTGAAAAGAGCTGCAAAACCAATTAGGTAGAACACAAGTCAAGGTTTAACCTTGTTTTCTCACAGAAACTAAAGTACCACTTACCTTTTGAGATACGCAAACATGGATTACAGAAAGAAAATAACCTTATCTTGCAAAGCGAAACCATTTTTCTTGCCGATAGTTTCGTTCTTCAACGTGCCACTACCGACTTGGCTGCCGCTTTTCTCCGTTGCCTGTGGAACACTGTCTGCCCTCAGGTTTTGCTCAGGATGGAAAAGTATTGAAGAAGAAGGTCCCTGAACCTTTAAATTTAGTTCTTCCATACGAACTTTTCCTCTTCTGTTATCAACACCAGAAAACATGATCAATGAATTGAATGTTAAACTTGGCAACTAGACAATTATAAGGTTGACTTTGAAAAGTAGGGAGGAATATACTGTGATTCATTTAACTGGCGCCTCGTGCCATTAAGCACTGTGTTTTCAGTATTTTCAAGAACGGTTGGTGCTTGTTTACCACAATGAGGTTGACTTTGAGAAAATGACTCTCGCAACTCATCCCCAGAATGAACTACTACAGTGCCGAAGTCCCCTAGTAAACATAAAATCAGAGAAATAGAAAACAATTTCACAAACAAATAACTTGCTACATCACTGAAATCTTGCTAAATTATTAGATGTGACATTCAGAAAAAAAAATCCATACCTTCACCTGTCATGTCCATGCCATTTAATATGTGAGACTTCTTCAAAGTGCCTGTTGCAGGAGTCTGATTTGCAACTTGAAGACCCATATTCTGAGGTTTTGATGGAACAGTATATCCATAACCCTCTTTCAAGTTTGAACTTTCCAGTGTCTGCTCCAAATTGGGAGTTAGACAGTACCAGGTAAAGTAAATATGCATGCATACAACAGCAATTGAGTAACTGCATTCAGAAACAATAAAATACATACATTAAGTCCTGAATCTGCAGGAGCAAGAGTTTGTGCATGTTCCATTGCAGCCCTTATTTGCTTTGCATTCTCAATCTTCGGTAACATTACAGAAGCTCCACATTTGCATTTCTCAATAAATTTGTGCTAAGTTCAAACAGAGATGATGATTTCATGTCAAAAGTATAAACTAGAACCAATGAAATGGCAAGTGAAGTAACAAGGGATCAAGTATATTGAAAAGAAATAAATATCCCCCCCCTTAGCTATTAAAAACAAAAAATGAGTCCTCATTTCAACTCTGTGCATTTCATTACAATATGTTATTTGCTAGACACCGACTGTATACATAAGTGAGCACTGCTTCGTTATACCTATCAAATCGTGCACAAAGAGATTGTTTTTAACCATATAGTGATTTCTTCAGTTTGTACATTTTGTAGCCGTTGACATGACTTTCTAGGCCCGAAGGTATCTTCATATAAACTTTTCTTCAAAATCCTCATCTAAAAATTCATTCTTGATGTCTAGTTGATATAAAAGCCACTCTTAATTTACTACCAATAACAATAGTACTCGAATTATGTTTAGTTTGGAAACAGGAGCAAATATCTCCTGATAATTAATCTCAAATGATTTAGTGAACTCATTTGCCACTAGTCTAGCTTTGAAACTTTCAACATTTTAGTCTGCCTTGTATTTGATTGTGACTATCCACTTGCATCCCACTGTTTTCTTCCATTATGTTGTTTTCTGAGAATTCATGTGTCATTATTTTTTAATGCCTTAATTTCTTCTTCAACAACAATTTTTTTTCATATTGGAATGTTTAGTGCTTCCTGAACTGATTTATTAGAAATTTTATTTATTAGACATGTAGCAGTAAGAATGACTTTCTAAAAAATATTCAGGGACATTATTAGTGAATATGAGAGACCCCATTACAAGACAATTATGATTTCTATTATTAATCTTTTATTATTTTCATCAGTTAATATTGTGAAAGTAAACGAGATAATGTTATTCGAATTCGGGTAGAGAAATGTTACTATACTTTCAGCATCTCAGATGCACTAGGGCGTAAGCTTGCATCTTTTGTGAGGCTCTTAGCAACGAAATCATGGAAGACAAGAGACCTGCATGCCCAAAAAAACCTAAGTGAGAACATAGATCTATGATGGGGTTTTAAAAAAAAATAAGTTGCATGTATAGAGAAAGCACGAGCTGTTATGATTCTTCTTCGAAAAGGATCTCTATACAGACAATTTGGTGAATGAATAATCATTTCTGGATGTACTGTAATCTACAAACAATCAACCAATCGCCCTCTTTCAATGAAATCAATTATGAAAACAAAAACTCAGAAAATAAACAAGTTCTATCATCTATCAGAGCTAGAACAAATATTGCCTATAAAAAGGAAATAGAAAAGCAAACCATTTCTCCTTGTCCTCAAGCATCGGGGCTGGCTCAATCGATATCATAAATAAAACCTATTGCAGACAACAAGTATGTTATGTCCAAAGGCCGATTAACAATGGTGTGGAAAAACAAAATTATTGATAATGAATTGAGATCCAGAAACAGGAAACATGACATGTTATAGAAAAGCTACAAGAGTTAATCACATAAATATTGACAAATGGGTATATGCATCCCTTATATGTGCCCAAATACTCATTTTCAAGTCCCATTCTTATAACAACAGACAGAGCCTAAGTTTTCATATTTTATCATGCACCTGCATCGCCAAAAATGGTAGGGGTGTCCTTTAAAAGAACCAAGCACTTACCCTCATTGGATGCACTCCTGATCTTGGAGGAAGCCCCTGAAAAATTTGAAGATATTGACAGGATGTCAAGCTTCGTTACGATTTTCATGTGCATTCAATATTTTGTCGTGGTATCATATGTTCAATTCAAGTAACAAACACAACAAGGTTGGATATCTTCTTCTTTAAGTTGAAAATAAAGACAGAAAAGATGCATTACAAATTTCCAACTTTTGTTGGGAGCTTAAGAGTAATAGTAATACCTCGGCCATTTCAATTGCAGATATACCAAGTGCCCACACATCAACCTGTAAGTAAAGAATTAAAATGCAAGAGGTTAGACAAAAAACAAGCAAATTATCCATTCCCAGTTTCTTTGCAGGAAGAAATGGCTCAATCGTTAAAAAAAAAGGCATAAAAGAAAGTAAAAAATCAATGCAGATTAGCAAATATGGTACCTTCCCATCATACCGACTTTCCTGAATAACTTCTGGAGCCATCCAATGCGGAGTGCCAATAAACTGAAAATAGGATAACAATAACATATGTTTAAAGACTGTAACATACTACATAGATTCTGAAATTAGGTTAATTTATGGGAGTAATCTTAAATGTTAGGGATATTTTATTGCTGTAGCAGATTCAAGTAAATCTATTGCATGTCTTCTTTCAGTCACATACATCACTTTCATCTAGGGCAATAGATCTACCTATAAATATTGTTGGTTCTAGAAATATCAACTTAACTCTGTCTATAACCTTATTTATAGCACTATGTTGGTCTAAATTGTTGTTTAACTTAATATTTTCAGTAAACTTATTCTTGTCTAAATTGTGAAGTACGTTACTTTGTTAAGCATCATCGTAGCTACATAAGACCTAGAGTAAACAAACTAGTTTTGTTTTTAATTTGGTACATTCAATCTTTTTTTTTGTTACAATAAAAGAACTGTATTGGCGGTGATTATTTCTTCTGCTCAGCATTCAATATGCTTTGAGCTTGTACATTCAAATATTTGGGAGTCGTGTCTAGTAATATATTGTTGGGAATAACGATGTTTCCCGCTTCGTGAAGTTAAGATAGGCACTTAGAGATTAATGATAGTAAAGAGAGCACAAGAGTATAATTCTTCAATTTAGAGATTCTTCCACTATACAAAAGAATAGTATGATTACAAGGACGTGTTCACAAAATTTGACTAACACTTGGTGGCTCACTCAAGCTTGAGGATAAAGACTTCCCAAGATATCTCTCTTCTTTCTCAAAGAGGCTCTCTAACTTTCTAGTTTCTCAGTCTAAGGAGTGGACTCTTTTAGTATTTTTGGATTTTTTGGATGATTAGGAATAAAGTCTCTCACCCCTATTTATACTACTCCACCTCCACAATGAATGGTGGAGATCACTTACATCTAAGGGTAGAGATTAATTATCTAGAATGCTCCACACACTCTAAGAAGTTCTACACTCTTCCATTATCTTACATATTCTTCCATACTTTTCAATAAGGTTCCACACATATCCAGAATATTCCAGAAGATTTCACACTCTTCCATAAGCTTCTAGAGAGTTCTACACTTCTCTAGAGTTCTCCAGAATGTTCTAGAAAATTCTACACTTCTCCAAAAAAGCTCTAGAATTTTCTAGAACCTCTCCAATTAAGGAGGGATCCAAAAAATCTCCCAATCGACTTAATTGGGAGGTAGTAGCAAGCTGACACCTTGACAGTAATCATCGAACTTCTTTGTCGGTATTACCTTGGTTATCATGTCTGACTAGTTCTCATCTGTGTGAACATTGTCAAGATGTATTTGCTTTTCTTTGAGAAATTCTCGGATCCAATGATATCTAGTGTCTATGTGCTTTGTGTGGGAATATAATGTTAATTCTTTGCCAGATAAATTGCACTTTGATTGTCGTACTTTAAGACACACATTTCTTGATTGATTCCCAGCTCCAACAATAAATTATTCATCTACAATATCTCTTTGCAAACTTCAGTAGTTGCAATGTGCTCTGCCTTAGTAGTGGACACTGCAACACACTTTTGGAGCTTTGATTGCCATGAGACAACCCCCTTGCAAAAGTAGTTAGGTATCCTGATGTTGATTTTCTTGAATCAATATCACTTGCCAAGTCTGCATCTATGTATCCTTCCAACACAGGTTTTCCTTTTCCAAAGCATAAACTCTTTTTGGAAGTTCCATGTAGATATCGGAGGATCCATTTGACTGTAACCCAATGTTCATTCCCTGGCTTGAACAAGAAGCGACTCACGACTCTAACTACATAGGTGATATCTGGTCTTATGTATATATTTGCATACATAAGACTGTCTACTATAGATGAGTATGAAATTTTCTTCATTTCCTCCATTTCGTTCTCACTTGTGGGTCTCTGCTTCGAACTCAACTTGAAGTATCCAACAAGTGGTGTGTTAACCGACTTTGATTTGTTCATGTTGAATCTTACTAACACCTTCTCAATGTATCTCTCTTGGGATAACCATAATAGTCTCTTTGATCTATCACGAGTTATTCGTATCCCAAGGATTTGTTTAGCCAATCCCAAATATTTCATGGTGAAACTCTTGCTTAGTTCTTTCTTTAAAGCATCCATCTTCATGCGATATTGTCCAATAATTAACATATTGTCAACATAGAGTATAAGTATGAGAAAGTCTCCATTTTCATACCTTTTTGTGAAGACACATTGATCGTTTTCCATCTTTTTGAAATCATGTTATTCAATGAAAGAGTCAAACTTTTTGTACCATTTCCTTGGTGCTCACTTAAGCCCGTATAGACTCTTAGTCAAATGACACACTAGATTTTCTTTGAATGGAACTTTGAATCCCTCAGGCTGCTCCATGTAGATTTCTTCCTCTAGATCGCCATGTAGGAACGACGTCTTGACATCGAGTTATTCAATCTCCAGATCTTGCACGGCTGCTAAGCCAAGGACCATTCGGATGGATGACATCTTTACCACGGGAGAGAATATTTCTTCAAAGTCTATACCTTTTTCTTGTCTGAATCCTTTGACGACCAATCGAGATTTATAGCGAGACTTTGAACTGTTATATTCGATCTTAATCCGATACACCCACTAATTCTTATGTCTCTTTTCCCTTTTGGTAGCTCCACAAGTTCATAAGTATGATTCTCATGCAAGGATTGCATCTCTTCTTGCATGACTCTTTTCCACTCTTCTTTATGACTATCACTAATTACTTCTTTATAGATTTGAGACTCACTCTCATCAGTGAGCATAGCATACTCATTTGTATTATACCGAGTGGATGGTCTTCTATTTCTTTATGATCGTCTCAGCTCTGGTGCTGTTGGAGAGCTAGATTGAGGCTCTTCTTGAGCTGGTTCATCATGAGTCTCATAGTTGCTTTGATCTAACATTGGTTCATGATCTTCAACATCATTGTTTTCTTTTTATTATTATCCTCAAGTCAAACTGGAGTAGGTTTGGTGTTCTTGTCGCTTCTCAATTTTGGCCTCCCTAAATTTTTGATATCTTCGATTATTTGGTCTTCGAAGAATACAACATCTCTGCTGCGGACATCCTTCTTATTAACTGGATCCCAAAGTCGATAATCGAATTCATCCTTAGGTGAACGAAGGTAGATGTATTCCTTCATCTTTACATCAAGCTTGGCTCTATTATCGTTGGGTATGTAATAAATGCCTTGCACCCGAATACCTTGAGATGATTGTATAAAGCCCCTTTTCCCGTCCAGACTTCTTTTGGGATACCCCGTTTAAGGAAACTGATGGTGTGAGGTTGACAATGTCAACCACTACCATTATAGCTTCTCCCCAAAATGATTTAGGTAACTTAGCATGAGAGAGCACACATCGAACTCTTTTTTTAATAGTTCTATTCATTCTCTCAACTAGTCCATTCAATTGTGGTGTATTCGGTGGAGTCCTCTCTAGTCTAATGCCATATTGTTTTGCAATATGCTTCAAAAGAACCTCTATACTCACCTACATTTTCAGTCTCACGCTCCACTAGGGCATAAAATTCTTTGAAAACGTCACGCACTTGATCCTTTGATTTTAACAGGTGCACCCACACCTTCCTTGCATGGTAATCAATGAAGGTGACAAAGTAAAATGGACCACAAATTGATCTCTTAAACATCGAACACACGTCGATGTGTATGAGGTTTAGGATGTTTTTTTCTCCTTGTGGGCGGAGAAGATCTTTGGAAAGAAACTCTGTGTTGTTTTCCAGCTAAACAGTGAGCACAAGGATCAAGTGGTTTATCTTTCAGGTCAGGAAGGAGTTGTTTCTGAGTGAGCATGTAAGACCCTTCTCACTGATGTTCCCAAGTCGTTTATGCCATATCTCCACATCTTCAGTGGTGATGTTTACCTTTCCTTTGCAGAGCTTAACTTGCATCATGTACAATGGCCCTTTCTTTTTACCTCGAGCCATTATTAGGCTTCCTTTGGTGAGTTTACACTTTCCTTCACCAAAGTAATTAATCAAACCATCATCATCTAGCTTCCCAACAGAGATAAGATTGAGGCACATGGCCGGAACATGCCTTACATATTTTAAGATAAGCTTACATCCGATACTTGTCGTCAGGATGATGTCTATTATCCCGATGATCTTGCTCTTGTCTTGATTTCCTATTTGCACCGTACCAAAGTCACCACTTCGGTAGGATGAGAAAAAACTTCCATGTGGATTAACATGGAAGGAAACACAAAAATTGACAATCCAAAAACTATCATCATAAGCAATGTTTAGGATATTACCTTTATCAACGAGATATATCAAATCTTCTTTTGATACTACGACAGTAGTACTATTATTTTCTTGCTTCTTCATTGGGCTGATTTGGTTTAACTTAACATTACCGACCTTCTGGTCTCTATTAAAAGATTGACATTCCATTTTCTTGTAGCACATCCTTCCACAGTAGTAGCATGTAATCTTCAAGCGTGACTTAGATCTACCTCGGTATTGATGTAGATCTCGATTTTTTCTACGTCCACGAGTTTTATTCCTACCCCAATTCTCAATAATATTAGCTTCGAGATGAATAGACTCACCTTGTTCCATTCTCCTTGCTTCTTCATCGAGAAGGCTATCATTGACGGTATCCATGGTGGGCTTTCCTTCCGGAGCTGAATTGCTAAGTGTAACAACGAGTGTATCCCAACTTTTCAGTAAAGAACTAAGGTGCATAAGAGCTTGCAATTCATCATCAATTTTCATCTCAATTTTTGTTAATTGATTTACGAGCCCCTTGAAATTATTTAAGTGTTCAATCATACTTTGACCATTCTTATACTCCAATTTCACCAACTATCGAACTAAATTGGCTTTGTTACGAGCTGTTTTCTTTTGAATCATGAACTCAAGCTTTGTCCATAATTAATAAGCATTTGTATAATTAGAAACATGTTCAATGAGGGTTTTATCAATGTACTTACGGATTATAGCAACATCCTTCCGATTTAGTAGCTCCCATTGAGCATCACTCTTACCTTCTACATATCTTCATCATGATCAAAGTTATTCTCAATCTTAAACTATACGAGCTAATTACAGCTACGGATGAACTTGGCTCTGATACCACTGTTGGGAATAATGGTCTTTCCCGCTTCGTGAAGTTAAGTTAGACACTTAGAGATTAAAGATAATAAAGAGAGCACAAGAGTATAATTCTATAATTTGAAGATTCTTCCACTATACAAAATAATAATAGGATTACAATGATGTGTTCACAAAATTTAACTCACACTTGGTGGCTCACTCAAGCTTGAGGATAAAGACTTCACAAGTTATCTCTCTTCTCTCTCAAAGAGGCTCTCTAACTCTCTAGTTTCTCTCTCTAAGAAGTGGACTCTCTTAGTATTTATGGATTTTTTGGATGGTTAGGAATGAAGCCTCTCACCCCTATTTATACTACTCCACCTCCATAATGAATGATAGAGATCACTTACATCCAAGAGTGGAGATTAATTATCTATAATGCTCCACACACTCTAAGAAGCTCTACACTCTTCCTCTCCCTTCCATATTCTTCCATGCTCTTCCATACTCTTCCATAAGGTTCCACACATCTCCAGAATATTCCAGAGGATTACACACTCTTTCACAAGCTTCTAGAGAGTTCTACACTTCTCTTCTCCAGAATGTTATAGAAAATTCTACACTTCTCCATAAAGCTATAGAATTTTCTATAATATCTCCAATTAAGGAGGGATCCAATATATCTAAAGTAGAATTTAAATATTTTTAATGTGTTATATAAATATACAAATTTTAATTGGTAATTAAGTTAGACTTTATTTATAGTGGTTAAAGATTATTTGATAATTAAGTTTATTTAGATAATAATTCTTATGAAATAATATTTTTTATTAAGTTTATTTTATCTATAAATATAGAGAAAACTATTTTGGAGAGATGTAACTTTTGTATGAGATTTGCAATATTTGAGGTCTTTATTGTAGACATGAGTTTTATAGTGGCATTGGAAGAGTTTTGGGGTATAAATTAGGTTATGAGATTTAATTTCATATATTTGTGTGCTTTATATTTATATTCAACTATAAGAAAGTCCTATGATAAATCCATCTGCACATATCAAATCAGACACTACAAAATGTGTTAAAGAAGAATATTGTGGATGCTTTTGTGGTTGGAGTTTGAGCAATTGTGCTTGATAAAAACCCTAACAAACAAGTTACATACAAATCGGTGTCAAAGGTACAATTATGATCGAAAATAATATCTCTAGTGGAATCATTGGTATTGACACATTCCAAATTAAAATATTTGAAAGAATTGTCAGAACACTAGAAAAATATAAAGTAAGCACCATATTTGAAGAGAATTTTGATTTCGTTAAGTATGCTGGATCCAAATGTTACAAGTTCATTGATTAAGGTGAAATTGTGAAAATCAATAGAAATTTACTCGTGGTGATGAAAGAAAAAAAAGGCTGTCAAGTTTTCTATTCTGTAGTGTTTAATAATTTTTGTTGATACAAATGATGTTACCTCTTTCGTGTCATATGAAAACATTACTAAATTTTGACATATGCGTCTCGTACATATTAATGAAAACATAATGATTAAAAGAGGACTTCATGTTAAACAAGGAACTAATAAATCGGAGTACAGTTTTTGAAAGTAAAAGATAGTTAAATTTATCGTATAAATTCATAATGCTAAGTGTTTAGATATTTGATCTCTATTAAGGTTTAGTGAGGTCAATTTGATTTTTTACATCTTATTTGTGGCTGGAGATAAGAATGTTGTTGATATATCGACTAAGTTCAAGGTCAAGCTTTACTTGAACTTGGCTGGTGTTCATTGTTGAAGAAAACTTTTAAAGGTTTTGTGGAAGATATGAAGAATTTATTTCTTGTCAAGATTGAAATCTTTTCATCTTACCTTGTGCTTCCAAAATTTGTATACAGGTGAAGACTGTTAGTGATTGTTATTCGAATTTTATTTTACGTCTGACCCAAAATTTTCACAGTGTGACCAAGTTGGTATAGAAATAAATCAGACAAAAAAATGAGAATTTGTGGTGTAGCCGACACAAGCTTATTATCTAGAGTTTTATGTTAGTACAACTATAAAAAATCTACCTATGATTTATAGGTTTATATGGGTGTGTTTTGTGTGGTATTGTGGCATGTTTAGGTTTTTGTTGTAAACCTCTTGTAATTTCTCTTGTATTTTATCGCCGATAGAGAATTTTCTCTTCTTTGTTTGTAGTTTTCTCAAAAGAGTTTTCCACACAAAACCTATATATTTATTACTTTTCTTCATGTTGATCTCGCATCTATTAATTTTCCTTTTACATATTCCTAACAATAACAATCTTCTTCATCGTATTTAACCCCAACTGATCTTGACCTTTCCATTGTCCTAAGCAAAGGTAAACATCAAAGTACCTATCATTTCTCTAATTTTGTTTCTTATAACATCTGTCTCCTTCAACTTGCTCTTAGTTGATGTGATGGAATGATGGAGAAAATACAAGCATAAGATGAGAATCATTTGGCACTTGGTGGATTTACACTTAAGTAAAAAGATTATTGGTTGCAAATGGGTACTCACAATTCTAAAACAAAAGAAAAGGGTGGATTTGTGCATGGTTGTTATGTATAACTTATTGCACTTGAAATATTAGCCGATGAGTAAACTAGATGCAGAGTTTCCATGTTTGATTATGTTCAATGATATCTAAACCATTGAACTTGTATATAATTTTCAACTCATCACTTCGACATTGGTAAAAAAGTGTAGGATAATATTGATTTCTATTAAGTCATTCAAAATTCATCTTGAGGTATTCTAGCTTAGATTTGTGGAATGACTTGAGATTAATCGAAGTATCTATATCTTATGCTTGAAAGAAGCGAATCGGTTCCAAAAATAGCGAAGTAGTTGGAATACTACATACTGTGTTGCGCTTTGACATGGTCCTTGTAAGTTGTGCTGCTACTCCAAAATCACCTGTCCAATAATAAAAATAACAAACAAATATAAGCATTAATTGTGAAAAAAAAAACACATGTTTTAGTCTTATCTGGTTTTGTAGTTTTAGAGAATGCAACTAAAGTGAGGCAAAATGATCAGAAAAATGTTATTTTAGTCTTATCAGAAAAATTGTACTCACCCAACTTCACCTCTCCTTGTTCTGTTAACAAGATATTACCACCCTTAATATCTCTGTGGACTTTAAAAATTGAGTGCAAATAAGAAAGACCCTACATAAGAAGAAATTAAGAACATAAATATTCCACTACCATTGTAGATTAAATATGACAATGATTACAAGGATGAATGTCACTTAGGTTATCTACATACTATAAAGGTTACCTCTAACCTGTTTTGATACTTCCAAACTAAATGGAATGAGTAATACCTTTAAAGCTTCACGACAGATATATGCTATCTGATTCTCCTCTAAAGGCTCCTGTGTATCATTCATCAAATCAGCTACACTTCCACCTCCACAGTATTCCATTACTATCTGCCCAAACATGGAAATAAGTTACCCCAGAAACCAAATATCAGGGAAAGGCAAATGCTCCAAACACAACAGAACTTACAAACCAGTGTTACATAGAAACTGAAATTAAGTCAAAGTATCATGAAACAAAATTTTGAAGGAGAAAAGTGCTTATAGAATCAACCCAAAGATATTCTTCCCCGGGATAGCTCCCAAAGTATCGAACAACATTTGAATGACTACATTGCTGCAACATTTCAATTTCACCACGAATTTCTTCATACTCTTCTTCCTAAAAAAACAAAGAAATTTAGTAGATCATGCCTAGTGATTGATCCAGCCAATGTCATCAATTATATCAAATACAAACAAGAAAATCATGCGCACCCCTTCTGTTAAAGATATAACCTTAACGGCAACAAGCTTTGAAGTTCTTATATCTCTAGCCTTATAAACTGCCCCATAAGATCCTTTTCCTGTAGCAATCCAATATTAGTTAAAAACTTTCTTTTGGTTTTAAAGGAACTTAAATCTACCACCAGAAAATAATGATGATCATCACTGCAATTAAAACTCACCGAGTTCATTGAGTAACTCATATTTTGTGGATGGATCTTCTCTAATAACGTAGTCGGTAACTGAACTCACCGGAACCTTATTATTTTGCAAGAACCTATTATCTTCCCCTTGAAGAGACATTGTTGAAGTACTAGTAGATTTCTTTTGTTTAGCAAAACCTAACTCTCCCATACTCGCCACTGCTTTGTTCACCACCACCGTTCCACTCCCTTCCATCTCGCTCCTCACCGTTGATCTCACAACGAACGTCCCAAAACTTTCCCCATTACAGTCTTCATCCTCCTTCTCCTCCTCCTCATCATCAACGTCCATTCCATCTCCTGCTCCTGTCTGCGGTGTCCTAAACGAAGACGGCTTTTCACCGAGAGAGATACGATCACGATCCGTCTTAACGATCATGGTTCCAAAATCTCCATCTCCGTCGTCATCGTCGGAAGGACCAACGGCAAAGCGTTTCGACACACATTTGAAGGGATGATGGATGGAAGAGACATCTTCACCTTCTTCGTTAACTTCTTTGTAAACCACTGTGGCTTGAGGTTTACGGGTCCGACGAGACCTTGGCGTTTGGTCCATTTCTTTTTTCCTATCTTCGCCAGTGCCGGAAAAAGTCAGATAGCTCAGAGCAATGAACGTAGAATTCAAAGATAGACGTTGCCCGTTTGATGTGGAATAAGAATAACTGTAATTTGTTAAATTGGAAATTTAATGAGCATCCGTCACGTGTCACGTTCCAAATTATAAATTTTTAGCCTTCTATGCAGTGCACATTGCACGCGGCATTATACGTATTTTGAATTATTTTTTTAATAAAAATCACCAATTTTAATCAAAATATAAAATATCATAAAATACAATAAAGATTTATAATCATAATCATAAATGAAGCACATGAAAGTTTCTTATAATTATTGAAATAAAACTAGCAACTTAAGATCGCATATAGAAAGATTAAAATCTAACAAAGAAAACTCGAATATATATATATATATATATATATAAATAGATCTGATCGCATTGGCAAATGAACCACAAAAGGAAATCAAGCTACTGAAAGACTACCGATAAACCGCAAATCAGACTCGAGCGACGTGAAAAGCTATCCACAAACGCATAACGAGTATCCAAATCCAATCCAAGGGTTCAAAGAATGGAAGATCAACAATATAACACATAAGCACCATCTTGATCAGTCATGACGATGTTAAGCCTTAGAAAAAGATAAATGAAAAAGACGGTCAAACGATCGAAAAACGTGTCAAAAGGTAGAAGAAAATGTGACATAAAGGTAGATAAAAACATACTACACAAGCAGACTTTCTAAAAATAAAAAGACAAAAGAAAATAAAGATGTAATATAAGAAAATATAATGTCGATAAAGAATACTGACTGTTGACTATCAACATTAAAGTTAGTGTCGTCATTGATCCACAAAGATAAAAAGAAAAAAGGATGAACGGCTTATCAATAAGAAAAAACTAGGATAGAAAAAAATAATAGAAATAGCTAGATATTTTGAATGAATTTTAAGAATATATAGAATTCATTAATTTTATTAAAAAGGAAAAATATTTAGAATTATAATTAAGGTTTATAATTATATATAAAAAATAAAATGAAGGGAGGATTACCTGTGTTTGCAGAGATTTAATAAACTTGTCTGTAATAACAATAATAATAATAATAATAATAATAATAATAATAATAATAATAATAATAATAATAATAATAATAATAATAATAATAATAATAATAATAATAATAATAATAAAACAGAGACGAAGAATTTTCATACCTTGCTTGAATTAGGTACCAGTTTCTAATAAGGTTTTCATCTTCTGATTTATCTTATTCTTATCTGTTCTTTCTAGGAAAGTCCAAGAAAGAGAATATAAAAGGTTAATATTGATTACACAGAAAACAAGTACTATAATAATCTCATTCAGAAAAGTCAAGCAACTCCAAGTTTATTGAAGGTTTATACGTATTCAATGGAATTTATGGACCGTGAGTGGCATATTCGAAGATGTAATTGGCACTCGATAACTTTTAACTCATACAATATTATTGATACAAACCAAAATATAAATACGATACAACACGATCACAATACTGATTGCAGATAGTTTTACAAGCACCACTAACAAAGTTTTTCTAAGTTCTCTTTCTATCTCTCTTATTTTTTAGCTCACTCTTTTTACATTTCACAAACTAAGCTACAAACACTCTTATATAAAAGTAATTAATTGACCCAAATTTCTTTTCGTAATGTAATTCTTCCATGCGATTATGGCCTTATCCTTTACTAGGGGTGTTTAGATTCAATCTGATAAAAAAAAAACCGAAAACCGATCCAAAAAACCGATAACCGAAAAAATTGAAACTGATTTAGTGTGTTTGGGTTTTTTTAAAAAACCAATCGGTTCGGTTCTGTTTCGGTTTGGAAATCCGGAATCGATCCAAACCGAACCGAACCAATAGTCTCTTACAATGAATGGCTATCTCCCTGCGCAAAACGACACCATTTCAAGTTCAATAAAAAATGAAACCCTTTTCTTGGCTTGTGCTCACTCACTGGCCAAAAATTGAAACCCTAGCCCACTTTCGTTCATTCCCAATTTACTCTGCCTCTTCTCATCCTCCTCGAGCACAACCCCTCACTCACAACCCAAATGACTCTGCCTCCGCATCATCCTTGGCTCACAGCCCAGTCGCGATTTTGCACCCCTCACTCCATCACGATTTTGCTCCCTCCACTCGGAGTCTGATTTCACCATGGTTGTTGCAGTGTATGTCACTCTTTCTTCTCTCTCTTTGGACTTTATGTATTAATAATTTCTCTACGATGCGAGATCTGAGATTGTGGTTTCGTTTATGCAGGTTGAGTTCTTCATATACTTGGTCCTCACTATTATAGGTTATATTCCTGGCATCATTTATGCTCTCTATGCCATTATCTTCGTTAACCGTGATGAGTACTTTGATGATTACTTGCTCTTGATACTGAAAATTTAGTTTTTATGTTTCGTTGAAACTTTAAATTGGTGGATTTGTTGTTTTTGTGCTCGAAGCTTCAATGAATTTTATGCAATCAGGATTCCTCTATTATGTTCCGTGTTTGTGCCTATTGATTTTGCATAGATCTATAGCTCGAGTAATATAGTGATATTAGAGTCTTTAGTTTTAACTTTTGAGGGGTTTGGATATGTATTTTAGGGGCCACCGGAAGTGAATCGATGTTGTTTGCAAAATCAATTGATATTCCCGTACTGTAGATTTAAATGCTCAGAAATTAATATTTTACTGTTTCTAGTCCACTTTTCTCTCTCTTCTTGTAGATACTGCCCACTTATAATAATAGATACATGATTATAATAGTTTGTTTTATACACAAAACTGATGCTGGAGTATGAGAACAGAAGAGTGGCGTGTGTTTTTTGGTCATAAAAGCATTGGAGACAGTTCAAGGTTGTCAATATTTAACATTTTAGCTAGTATATTATAAATGGATAAATAGATTGAACGGGGATAAATGACTCTATGATACCTATCCTCGTCCACTATTTGATGGTAATATGTAGATTATTATTATTATTATTATTATTATTATTTTAAACAAATGGCATGTGTCTTTTGTGTATTTGGTTGACAAAGAATGACATATTGACAGATCAAATGGAAGGCATATTGTGCTTCAATGCTTTGATATTTTGTTCCCCACCACTGTCCAGGAAGCAATATTTCGAGTGGTTGTTGCAATTTTGCATCTTGGCAATATTGAATTTACAAAAGGGAAAGAAATGGACTCATCTATGCCCAAAGATGAAAAATCTTGGTTCCATCTACAAACTGTTGTTGAACTATTAATGTGAGCAAACTTCACAAGCTTGCATTTGTTAAAATATATATTCTCTTTGTAAGCTTCACAAGCTTACATTTGTTAAAATATATATTCTATTTGCTTTTGTTTTACATATGTTGTTTTTTATGAAAAAAAATCAAGAATTATTTTGAAAAATTAGAATCCAAAAACTGCACATATCCAAACCGAATCAAGCCGCACTTAATTGGATTGGACCAGATTGAATTTTTTTTAGAAACATCCAAACCAATCCAAACGCAAACATTTATACTTTCAGATCAGATGAATTTTTAGCCAAAAACTGATCCAAACTGACCGTAAATACCCATATCATTTACTATTTTGCAGCTTTTGCTTCTCTTAACAATTAAGATCTTTTAATTTACTGCCACTTAATTCTTCTTAATAATGAAAAAAAAATTGGTTGCCAAATGTTGTTTACGGCTGCCATTTAAGTTTAATTGCTACCACTTCATTCTCTTAATTGTTAAGCATCTTTGTCTTAATAATGTGATTAAGTTTTCATGTTGTGATGCCACACAACTTCATCTCCACTAGCCACTTATGGTTATCCATATAGCTCTCGAAGTGAATATTTCCAAGTCCACCATTGTAATCCAAGCTTTGCTGACATTAATGGAAAAGCAAGCTTAATATTCTAACACTCCCCTTCAAACTTGTTTTTCCATTATAATCTTTTTATGATTATCATTTTCGACTACTTCATATGTTATGAGATCATCCTTTACAAGTAGACAGAAAAGTGAGACATTTTATAATTCATAATCATTGTACCTTTCTAGTATTATTCTCTCCCTTGTCGAACAAGCTCGAGGTACGTCAGAACTTTATGTTCTGTTGCTACTACTATTGTTGTTCCTTGGTGAGGGTGATTCAATAAGATTTTGTTGAGGACCTTGATCATCATCTTGTTCATCTTGATCGAAAAGATTGTCGTCATCTTTATCTTCATAAAAAATAGTCCTTCAACTTTCTTTTCTTTTATGCTTCATCTCTATTATTATGCTTTATCGAACTCGGCATCTCTTGAAATGATTATCATCTTGTTAAGAGGATTATATAGCCTGTAGACTTCACTCTTTTCATCATAGCCAATGAAAATACATTTTTCTCCTCTGTCATCAAGCTTCTTTCTTCTCTGCTTAGGAACATGGTCATATGTGATGCACTAAAAAATCTTAAGGTGTCTAACTCTCAATTTCTTACCATTCCATGCTTCATTTGGCGTCATATACTTCACACTTTTGGTTGGAAATCAATTTTAAAGGTAAATTGCACAATGAACATCTTCAGCTCATAAATTTCTTGGTATGAGCTTTCCTTTTTTCATGTTTTTTTGCCATTTCAAGGATTGTGCAATTTTTTATTTCTACAACTCCATTTTGTTAAGGCGTATATGACTGTTAGTTGATAAAAAATTTCATTCTTTCTACAAAAGTCTTCAAATAAATTTAATGTGTACTTACCTCCACTGTTTGATCTAAGTATATTTAAATATTAGTCGCTTTGCTTTTCTCCCATTGCTTTAAATTCTTTCAATTTCTCTAGTGCTTCTGATTTTACTTTCAAGATATAAACTCAATTTTTCTGCTAAAATTATCAATAAAAGTTAGGTAGTACCTATTATCTCCAAGTGATGGGATGCCAAAAGGGCCACCTATGTCGGTGTGCGCAATCTCCATATCTCTTTTCCAGGATCAGATAATTTTGGAGCTTTGTATGTGTTGCTTTCCTTAATGCAAGCATCACATAATTGGTT